TTCATAAAAATCTACAGTTCAGTTTCGTACTTAGTCTTTCAACTACAGCTTTATTTCAACACAAGTAAAAAAAAACAAACAGCAGTGAACATGAAAAATAAACAAAAATATGTCTTTGATTAGGCTTGTCCTTGTCCATTGGCATCAATATCGACTGTTGTACGTTGTTGTACTTGTAAATCAATGTTCGATGAATTATCTAGATGGATAAGTATTCGATGTTGATGATTAAATATTAAAACAGATAATTAATTAACTTACCTTGAATACGAAGATGAGGCTCCTTCAAAACTTTTTTCTTGATATTGCGTCGTTTTAATAACAAACATTCATGTAAAGTAGGCCAAATAGCTTCTATTTCAGAATGATCAAGCTTATATTTAGCTTGAGCCCCATATAAAAAGAGTCCGATACGAAAATATTTGAAGTAGAAACATTAAAATCAGGATAAAAATATAACTATATCATTCCCTAAGATTATTTATATATTTCCACTAGTTTTCAGAGATTAAGTAGAGCTATTTACACTTTAATTTTATTGAAGAATTTTTTTCCTATAAAGCATGCATGAAAATCCTTCAATGTAACTTCAAGATGAGAACAGATAATCGTCAATTTTGATTGTTTTATTCCGAACCTATCCCCACGAAATGTGTCATGTATCTGGCATAAAATAAAGAAAAAACTGAAATAAAACGAGAACTTATGAAAAGCAAATTGTTAACACATGATCAATCTAAACTGTCCGAATGCATACTAAAGATCCACTAGTTACCCAAGTAAAAAAACGCCTAAAAATCAGATTATAATCTATTATAATCTGATTAAAATCAGATTTTTCAGCATCAAAAGCAAAAATTATTTTGATTTTAATCTTTTTTAATCTATTTTAATCGATTAAAAAAATTTAGCAATCAGTTTTAATAGATTAAATTTTGATAATCGATTAAGATAGATAAAAAAGGTTAAAATCAGAATAATTTTTCTTTTGATGCTGAAAAATCCGATTTTAATCAGATTATAATAGTGCCATTATAATAGATTATTAATCTGAAAATAATCGATTTTAATCTAATTTTAAGTCATTTTTTTAACTGGGTAATGCAGCAAGCTCGAAATAGAATTTCTGGAATTTTTCTTAATAGCAAAGCCGAGAGACATTATTAGATTGTTTTGAAAGATTTTTGTTGAGAACATAAAGGGAAACGAAGGTATTAATTAATTGAAGTCATGACTGTACGTCTTATTGCTTTTACACGTGGATCTTGATCGATGCAGCCCTTACGAGGATCAAGTGCAATCAATTCGTTGCTATCTTTAAAGACAAGATCGACAGCCTTGTTCACATAATCATTGAAGTTGTTTAAAGAACATTGTATTGACATCATATCAATTTCAACTCCATCAGAACGATTGAAGATCTAGAAAAAAAAGCATAAAACGACCAAGTGATTATGTGGAAAACAATATTTAAATTATACAAAAATTTAGAGATAAAATATGGACAATCAGAATTCATAACAAATTTTCAGAGATATTTCGCTATTAAATAACAACAAACAAAGTATCTTGACATTCAGAAATGATAATAAACCACCTATCAACACTGTTTTTTAAATATTCGTAATATTTTAAAACTTATTTTGGAAAAATTAGGAAACTGACTAGAACACATCAATTGATACTGATTTATTGAAACAAGTACAATCGCAAAATTGCTTATATGAAACTCAGTTTGTTTATTAAATGAATAGATCAGATATTTAACTTCCACTAGTATTTCTTTTGATATTTTACTCGATTATTATTAAAGTTTCTCTTGATAAATCTTGCTTCACTCGTATATAATGCATTCATTCATATAAGAATACTTACGATTTTGGAACATGGCTGACTTGTTGATGACTCACCAATTTCTTGTACATCAAGAATATTATATTTATCTTATTCAATGCCTAAACTTCCACATTAATATTGAAATTTATTACTTGATTGTTTCAATACTCAAAATTATTTTAAAACTCTTAACGATTTAAGTTTACTCTAACGTCATTTGATCAGACGTATAATCTTGGT